CTAAACCCGGTCAAATCCCATCCGATTTCCACGAGGTTTGGCTCTTTGTTTCTTTATCTTATAGGTATCACGACAGGAGCGGGGTATATCCGCTAGTGTTATATAAATACTCAATGCAGTATAAATCCTAATATGTATGTAATATTGTATATATATTTTAGGCCTTTTCACTCACCTCTTCAAGTGCAGCTCACTTTTGCCCACATAGTTGCAGTTTTCGTGTTCACACTTGTGACTGCCCTTGGCATGAGATATAAGATGGGTTTTGAGAGCCTCCGGCGTAAGGCCCGCATATGAACAGTCCTCGTGTTGGCACCGAAATTGACGTTCCACCGAAGCGTGGCTCATCTCGTGCAGCTTAAGTGAGTATCTAAAATTAAATTACAAGATTGATTTAAGAGTCGGTGGGAGAAATCTGTGTGACGCTCTACGTCACATTGTTCGCTTTTATTTTATATGTTTCGCATTTTATTAGAAAATTGTTTAATTACATTAAATCAAAGCAAAAGTAATTCGCACCAGAGTCACGTCCCATTCGCCTAGGCCGTCCCGTCAGACAGCCGGCACGTTCGGCACAGGGACACAAACCTGGACGGACCTAGGCCACGTCCACACCAAAAAGGAACACAGTAGTCGTCGTCGGCCCACAAACCAAATGCAAACTCGTTGGCAAAACTTTTGTGCACATCAATTACGGATGCTAATTAATCGAAACAGCTGAGAGTCGTCGTCGTCGTCGCCGACTTTAAAAAGAGTCTAACATTCGGGACGCTTTATTTGCATTTGTTTAAAGAGCAAGATTTGGGAAGAAGAATTAAACAGTTGTGCTTGGGATATGAGATCAGAATATATAGAGGAAATGACAGTATAGAAATAATTTAGTTTGTTTCTTTTTAATGTAGATTTAAATAGTTTATCCCAACTATTTTATAGCATTTTATTTTTTTGATTTAATGCATTAAATTGGGTTTACTTCTGTTTAATTTGTTGATCAGTTTAATTGCCATGTTGTCAGATGATAAAGATAAAGGAGTATTTCACATTAAATATATTTTAGTTTGTGTAACTAAAGGAATTGCGGGTAGATTTAAATTTAAGACGGGTGCGAAATGGACGGGAAAGTTTTGTTTAGAATTTGAAGCAAGAAACTTAGATCCGACCAAGGCCGGGCTATACGCGGTAGGTGTAGTAAATCAAATTAGAATATAAGTACAACGAATAATAGAGAAAATGAGGTACTATAATTAAATAAAAATTCTTTTGTATATTTGAAGTTTGTAGGAACCGTCAGAAAGACCTCAGATGAGTAAAGCCAGATCTACTATTTCTACTTAATATCGCTCGAAAAGTAATTATATTTAGACTAATAATGTAAATGGAATTGTCATTGAGTTAGTAAACGATTTGTGCAACAGAATTCTTAATGTTATTTTAGGGCAAATAAATGAAAGGTAATGGAAGAGCAGCTATGCGCATAAATATTGAAAGTGTTAATTTCCGTTGTTCATTTGGAATTTATGCGGCGTTGGCTCTTGAAAAAGATTCTTCTTAATAATGCGCGACATTAACAAAGTTTCAATCTTTAATCTAAATTCCTCTTAACGGCAACAATGCCAGGAAAAGCAACAGCAGAGATATGGCTATAAGGAATAGTGGGCTCAATGGCACGAAAGGGGCGGCTGGGTGTGGCCTGTGCTGGTGTTGGCGACATTGTCATGCATTTCTAATGATGCCGTCGCGTGGGCGGCAACAACAGCAGCAGCAGCAGGAGCAGGAGGAGCAGGAGCAACATCCTCGTCGACGGCGACGGCGGCGTTGATATGTGAAATGTCACTTTGTATGGAGTTTGAATAGCAACGAGTATGACAACGACAACAGGATGACGGGCGTGCTGCGAGGAGCACGGCTGGGGAGTCAACGTTTGTCCAAGGCGTTGCCAGCCGTTTGAGACGTTGACAAAAGGATGCCATTTCACCTGCAGGAGTTTGCCGTAAATTGTTGTTGTTGCTGTTGCTGCCATTCACTGGGATAATGGTGCCGCCAGCAACAACATAATGCTGAGAGAAAAGCAAAGCGAATTAGATGCAACAGCAACGGGAACAGCAACAAAATTATCTTTTGCTCGGTTCGTTCCTGCCTTGTATTTTCAGTTATAACATTAACTTTTATTTGCTCAGCTGCATTTTACAGAGCTGCGTGCCCCGTCCCGACCCGCCCCACCATGGACAGCTTCTCAGCTCAGTTCTCAGCGATTTCCACAACTCGAAGAACTTCTCCAGCTTTAATTCGCCGTCTGTCCCGCTGATTCGTTTGCTTCTGCTGTTGTCTGATATATTTTCACGGCACAGGCCCCAAGGACATTAGCGTAAATTAAATTAAATTGTGCGCCGAGCCAATTTGCCCAGTTGTCAGCTGAAACTGGAAGAATATCTACATATAAGCGCATAAGCCTGCATCCATGTATTCCGTATTTATACGATCAAAACAATTGCTACTTTTTATAATCGATAAGTCTGTGACTTAATTATTTATCTAATTATTAAGCATAGGAACGTCTTTTTGTTGCAGGCTGTGTATATATTTTGGAATCAGTCGATTATGTCTATTGTCCAGCTATATAGCTAACATAGGAATAATGGGACGGCAGTAAAATTTCTTTATCATGAATGCTTTCTTTTTTATAAAAGCATTGATCCAAGCAGAATATTATCTAAATCGTATTACTATATCATATATAGCTATATAGGCAGAATCATACAATAAGTTATTTACAAGTCCTAGCATGATTTATACGCAAAATCTTATCAAAATCGGACTACAATACTTTTCTCTATAGGCAGAATGTTTAAACCAATGAGTTTTATGGAAAACCTATCTATTTGTCAGGATATCTTGGCCAATTTAGTTTGGGGTATGGCCAGGATAGAAGTTCCTTTAAGTTGTACACAAATAATATTCTAAAAGGCATTTTCTAATAATACAATTTAAAAGAATATGCATAGATGTGGCCTTTAAGAAGCCCAAGATCTACACAAGTTTAAGGTTCAGAAGTGCATTTAAAATCTAAACACGCCCAGCATTGAGGCGCCGCCTTTCAATACGGATGCGAATGCGGATGCTGATGCGGATGCGGATGGTGGTTCCGATGCAGCGAAGCTTCGTTGCGATTAGTTGACGAAACGTTTCACGCCCGGCGACGAAAACTTTGCCCTTTTGTTCTGCAGTCAATGGGTGTGGATGGGCGACGGACGACGGGCTGGGTTAGGCGGATCTGGGAAGCGGATGGTGGGTGGGTTTTAAAAGACGAACTGGGGCGTCTCTGGGAATCAGTCGAGCAGCAGCTGCACGCGGCAAAGAAGCTGTTTGGCTTTGGTGTTGTGTCAACTTTTGCACGCCATCCATTAGCAGCGCGGCGAGACGGCGGCTGGGGAATGCAATAGCAAAGGACAACTGGCAGGAAGCCCAAGAAGCTGAGCAAACATGATGCGGCTGCGGATGCGCGGGCGGGTGCATGGGGACTGCGAGCTGCGGCAGGTGCAAATGTATCCTGCTGCTCATTGTCAGCTGCATGCGAAGAAGGTGCCACTATCTCTCTCCCTCTCGTTCTGGCTCTCTGTGCGGCATGTCTTAGACAATCGCATGTGTGTGCTGGAGTGTGGGCTGTTGCTTGGGTTTTTGGCCAAAGTCTGGGCGACTGCCACCCGTCGCAGTCAATGTTGTTGCGCTGGCATTGTTGTTCCCAAAACTCGCATAAATATTTATGACAGTCTCTCTCTTGCTTGTCGCGTCGTGTCTTGTCTTGGGCTCTGCCTTGTTCTGGGCGGGTAAGTTTTGTGCCGCGGGTGTTAGTCACCAGTGCAGCGACTGCTTCCGGTGTCAGTCACAAGGATGTGCTCAACTTTTGCCAGCCCCCAAGCCCCCCAGCACCCAGGCAAACCAAACCCAACCCCACCAAGCTCAATAGCCATAACCCCTTATCCACAGCCTCAGCCAGCTTGCCATTTCTTGGCCAACTTTCATGTAATTGGTACGTAAGTCTTGTGCCGTCTTTTCAGTTCCCAAGTTGTTGTTCGCTTGTGCGACATTAGCTGGATTTTGATGGCTCGTCCTGTGTTGCATGTGAAATTAGTTACGGGGGCGTGGCTGCACATTTATGCCATGTGTAATTAGGGAAGTGCCCAACACCTTTCAACATTGCGCGTTTGCCTTTTGCCGCTTATCTGGCTGGCAGCCCAAAACTTGATGCTGTACAAGTATCTTCGCCGGAAATTACCGTTAAATGTCACCCTTGCACTTGTACTCTACACACACACACACACGCACGCTGCTTGCCTCAAGGGGCATGCCCCATCTTCGCAGTGCATTCCTATTAATACCGCAGCAAGCTTCAAGTTCTTAATGTGCAAAAATGTGCCCGAGCTTCGGATTAGTTGTACGCTGTGAGCCAAATCTATTTTAATCTTGTTTACTTTTATGAACATTCAAAGAATTCCATCTGGCTATAAAAGTACATAGGTATTATCCTGCCTAGGCCGTGTCCGCTTAAAAGAGATGCCGCACAAATAACCGAAATGGCGGAAAATTAAAAATTAAAATGGATCTGGGCAAGATAACCAGAAAAACAGATGACATTATTCAAACAAAAACTTATTTTTGACCGATTATTCCTAGGAGTTTATGTACCAGAAAGAGAGCCTTGCGATATCTTCGACACGTCAAAGATGTAATACTCTTGTGGACATTAGTGAAGTTCGCAAATGCTGAGTTTGATCAACTCGGCTGTTGATCTAGATTGATTCTAGATAATCTAGAATATATTTGCTTAATGGGGTCGGGATGTCTCCTTCTATATTGCATGACATGAGTATAATAGCCTCTTCAAGGTTATAATAATATCATATCCAAATTTGTATCAAGACCCAAGTCGGTCATGTCTGAAACTGAAAGACCCTTTGCTTGAAGTTAATTTTCGACTTTGTTTGTTTAAATAAACACTCAAACACTCAGACATGCATATTTATTTATAATATCGAACATATGTACGAAAGAAGCCCTTGCTTACGATTCGAATTGCTTCTCGCAAATAAAGTTGTATGCATCCTCGCAATCGGCATCGTTCATGTCATATGAAAATCTCTTGCGCAATCCGACGCAATCATCGTGACTATACTCGTCATTTGGCTCTCCGCTGCCCCACTTCAGAAAGGTTGCATTCAGGCCAGTGGTGATAGATTGAAATGTGCCCTCCACGGCAAGATCATTGATATCCACCCAATAATTGTCTTTGCTCAGCTTATTCTTAAGTGCATCCAGCTCAGTTTCGCTCTGCAGACTCGCCAGGTGTCCGTCCAGGCTGTGGCATTTATGCAATGCTCCGAACCAGTCCATTTTCAAATTGTTTTCGATAAAATAGTATTTGTCTCCAATTTGCTTAAATGGAGCTGTGTCCACAGGTCGCAATTTTTTCTTATTTAAATTGTTTTCGAAAGTGTCAAACCTTTCGTTCAACAGTGTTTCCACATTGTTCAGCTTATTTAGCTCATATTTATTCGGTCTCCACTTGTGCATCGCTATCGCATGCTCCAACAGGGGCTTCACGAGTCCAAAGCATTCGCCTTCCCTGAGAGCTCTCGGTTGAATCTCCTCCAGAGAATCCTGTAACACCGCGCACAGTTTTGAAATTATCTCTTACAATTGGGAAGCTTAACTTACAGAGACTGAATCGCTGCTGCCATGTGCTGCCAGGAACGTGATTAGAAGGCCAACAAAGATCTCCTTCATATTTCACTATATATATTTTTGCTTTCTTCTACAGACGGACAGCAGAAAACTGAATCATCCGGTTAAATAAACTGCCTTATATATTCTTTATCCGGAAGTATTCGTTCGCGTGAAATGGTCGCAATCTGTGTAGTATGTGTGGAATCACAATTTCAGGGGGACTATTAGATAAGGTCACATATTACGCAAGGTCGTTGAATATTTTCCTTATTGTTATCAGACTGTGCCGACTTTCAAGGTCTTACAATTTTGTATGCCTCTTTAATGCATTTATTCTTTAAAGTCTACGTTTCTACACACGTGATCTAATAAATATGGCGGCTGGTGTAACCCGACACTGCGCGGCTGTTTCTTTATAAATTCATGAAATTTTACATAGATCTTCTTCCATGGCAAAATATTCTGCTCTCAACGTCATTTTCATCTAAATCATCATTTACGAGCAAATGTCTGCAATGGTATTAAATCTTCTACGTGTCTCTTTCTCGTCGATTTACGAAATTATTCAGTCAAGAGAAAGAAACATACCTGACTTCTTATTGCTGTTAAGAATCTAACTGCCAAATTTTGGAATCTCTAGCTCTAATAATCCAGAAAAGTGTGATGAAAAGACTAGAGATAAAAATCGATATTTATCGATCTTAGGGAATTGGGATGTATTCTCAAAAAAAAATAATAGCTTGTTCTGAATACCTTATTAGAAAGTGTTCACCAAAAATTCAAAGATGCATCCGCTTTCGTTATATTTAAAGATTTACATAACTGCAGTATCATATATTCTGTTTATAAGTATTTTTAATGAGAACAGGGTACGTATACCAATCATTTTCTGTAACTTAAGATACACTACAAAATAAAATAAAATATAATACAAATGCATGCAATTTCTAAACATTTTATGCCCACATCCCAAAAATCTGCTAATTAAAAATGCTGAAAGCAATAAACGGAAACAAGCCTCAGGACTTGGTGCAATGGATCCGTAATTTACTTGCTCATATGAAAATGTCATATAATTTACCCACCCCATACTTGCAGTATTCCCGAAATAGTTTGGACTCGGCGCGGGTAGCAAGAAATGCAGCAGAAAAAGCTCTGCAAATGAAAATTGGGGAAGCGCGCATTTTGCATTAATTAAAAATTCCAAGCGAAAAGCGATTGCTGCAAGTGCAAAATAAGTAACCAAAAATAACTCATTAAGTGCTGGACATTCTCGGCACACACACACACACACACACACACACACACACACACACACACACACACACAAGCACACATTTGTGGCACATATGGCAGGACTGCAACTGGACCTGCCACCCGCCACAAAGTATGCAATGCACTCGCAAATCAAGCCTGCGGCTATGCCACCAAAAAGTGCAATCGTCCTGCCGAAAAAATAAACAGAATCAACAAAAGATATATACTAGCATGCTGCAGCGAGCGGGCACAACATGCGGCACATGTTATTTGCAGCTCTCCAGCCAGCCAAAGAAAATAAAAAATAAAAATAAATAAAATAAAATACAATATTATAGTCCTTTGCTTAACTTTTGTTTTGTTGTTTTTACGGATTAGGATATGCCAACGGCAATTGTTTGGTTGTATGTAATAGGAATAAAGACATTCTAAATGCACTGCTTAAAATCAGTTTTATTTAATTAGATTATTAAAATGCGATTTCATGGTGGCTTCTAAATTGCCAGTTGAGCTGAGTTCATAAATTTGCCAATTTCTTCAATTTTTGCTCACTTTAGTAGCTTTTATGAATGCCTTAATAAAATGGGCTTGTTTATAGTACAAAATGGATTATATTCTGCTACATTTTAAATACATAAAATTAGCCTAGCCTTGGGAGTTATCAAAGCTAGCAAGCTATCAAGTCAATACTCCAAATATTTACAAATGGATAAAATATTATTGCAAAAACTTATTATATGTGCAAAAATCCTTTGCACAACTCTGCCTCATATTTGGGTATTTAATCAAGGGTTATTTTTGTTCTGAGAATTTTGTGGTATGCATTTTCCTTCTTTAACTAAGTCGACTAATTGACTTTATACAGTACTAGAAAGAGTTTGATGTGGTTTGCAAAGTAGTTTTAAATATTATATATCATTCACTGCATTGTGAAGACCTCGAAATCGAGATATGTTCGTTCAAGAACATTCTTGCATGAAAATTTCCTGCATAGCAATGCCTCTTTTCCAGCTAGCTGTATTTATTATCGTCTGACTCACAGGATTACTGTCGGAATGCCATTAGCCTCGACAGATCCAAATCTGGCCATCCAATTACGTTTCAGCCATAACCAATCATAACTTGCTCAGTCTCCACAGTGACGACGTCCACAAGTATACACATACACATATATATCCATATATAGCCAAGCCCATATTCCATAGTTGATGCGATGCTCGCTGCCAAGTTGCAACTAATTCCTTAAGCAAACATTAAGTTGAATTGCAGCGAGTCGCCGGAACAGGCAACGGATCTGAGACTGAGTCGGACTGGGAATAGCTGGATGCATAAAGCAAGCGTATGGCAGCTGGAGACTGAGAAAGAGACAGGAACAGAGACAGGGATAGTGACTGGTGCAGAGAGTTTTCCACTTTTCAAGTGATTATTTGAAAAATTTATTAAAATGCTCATTTGAAGTTATTGTCGTGCGCGCTTGATGTAGATACTTTGCTTTTACGACTAACGAGACCGAGTGGCCGGCAAGGAGTCGACTCGCAGATCAACTCTGAGACAGTCGCCGCGAAAGAGCGAAATGGCTAGAGAAAGATAACAGAGAGAGGGGCGAAAAGGAGCCGCACAAAGTTTCAGCACCCCCCAGTCGAGAAAAGGACGCGACGCCTTCATCGACTCCGTCTCCGTCGTCGTCCTCGTCGTCGTCGTCAGTCATGTCAACAGCGCAGCGCAGCTCACTTCCGGAATTCCAGACTTGAACTAACTCAACTTTTACGGCTGCTGGCTGCTAGCTGCTGGTTAGCCGGGGTCCTGTGCGGATACTTTGCCAACATCAGCATCAGCATCAGTCTAAAGTTTCTGTCGTAGTCGTCGTCGCCATCGCCATCGTCCTCGTCGTTGGGCAATTCACTTTTATTGAAATGGCGTGCAATGTTCTGTTCTGTTTGGCTGGATACGGAATCGGATTCTTTTGGCTGGGGCGCGACGCGGCGCGGCTTCGTTTCGTTTCGCATTTCCAATTCGTTGTTGCCTCTTCTGCTCATTTCGTCTACCCTTCCAGAGGTTATAATAATTTTGATACCACATGTGTTTCCGCAGCCTTAAAATGATATATATTTTAGATCGGACAGTTAAGATCCGGGCTCGAGTTTCAGGCGCTTGGTGTTGAGATGCCTTTCAAAAGTTGGTGTGATAGTTAAAACACTATAATAATATTTTAGATCAGACCGATGGACTGAGTTTATATGATGATGATCTATATATCTGTCAATTTTCAAGCTTTCTAGATGAGAGATTGTGCCAAAGAGATTGAACCAAAAGTTAGCCGGATTTACCCATATCATTTGTCGATCTGACATGAAAAACTTTACATTTATTCAAATATTTGAGTACTCCCATATTTGCTAAATGTCCGCAAGGGTATTTAATCTTTAGCACTTTGCAGTTGAGGTTTCTTCTTGTTTCTTTTATGTCTGCGCTTTTAGTTTATTTTATTTTGTATTTTAAGTCATTCCTATGCTGCATCATTCGCTGTCCGGGAGTTGGTTCTGTTGATGGCACAAAGTGCAGTGCAATTCATTTTAATGGTAGCTTTCCATAGCCCCTGACCCAGCCCATGAGCCCATACACCGCCCGGTCCTGTCCAGTCCAGCTGTTCGTTCCGTCACTTGAGAGTCAATTTCAGAAAACTTGATTTCCCATTTCCAATGCCAGCGCCAATCCGACGATTTAAGGGATTGCCTTGGATTCCTACTCAACGCTCGCTGTGCATTCATTCATTTTTATGAATCTGCGAAATTGACTCGGACATTGTTCGGTTTGCGGTCGAAGGCAGAACAGAACAGAACAGAACAGAATACGGAACGGAATACGGAACGTGTTGTGGGTTGCCTCGTCTCATTTGAAGCTCGCTCCATTTCCAATCGCAGCTGTTGATGGTCATTGGCAAGCTTTTGGCTCTGTAACTGGCAGCCGCATTGAAGGTTCTTGCTTTTGTTGCATGTGGCATGCCCTCATGAGCATCACGTCAGAATGCATAACATATATCAAGTGTCCATGGGCTGAGCTTTTAAAGAACTCTAGAGAAACTTGTTGGGCTGACTGGGTAAGTGTATTGCATTGGCAGCAACAAATAAGAATTTAATATAAATCAATTTCATTATATATTTAGAGCACAAGATAAATAATAAAACCAGGATATATATATAGTGATATACCTAAATCTCTTCGGTGTTCCCAGCTGATATGTTCTAATTAGATTGATTAATATTTATATAAAAAATACATTTTTCTTTATTTTTTTTTTATTATTTTTGTTCATCATTGTTGTTCGGCATCATACGATTTTTCGCTGCCAAGACTCGAACTCGATACTTCACTTCGAGTAATGCTTTTCATTGACTTGTTTTTATTGCTGTTCTCATCCATTTTAGGCAGAAGGAAGTATTCCCAACTATTTTTGTTAAGCATCAATAACCGAGTCCATCTGGCCATGTCCGTTTGATTATACGTTTGTCTGCTGAAGGTCCTCTTAGTGGCCGTGTTGCACGAGTTCTTTTAAAAGCATTGATAGCTTGCCCGTTTTTTAGTAATCGATAAGAATGAAAGATTGATAAGAATCGAAGATTGACCAAAATCGATAAGAGTTAAGAATGGAAACGGATACAGATCTTCGATTATTGCCCTTGCAAGGTATACACATATCAAGTTTACTTCAACCTTTTGAAACCTCGTTCCCTTTCCACAAAATCAAATATAGAAAATTTCCAATAAGAGCGTTATAGATAAATTTTCCGGTAATGCAATGGGAGCTTGTGGATTTTCCAGCTATAAGCAGACTGAGTGGCGATCCGACATTTGACGCCGAAGAACTGAGAACTTTGGTAGGACTTAATTAGATATAAGATTTAAGATTATAAATGAAATAAGCAAAAAATATTTATTGTGCATATTTGTAGATACATTCGTTCATTTTCTTCACTCGTCGAGTATCTCGCAGACGAAATAGTTATTCTTCTCACATTGGACGTCATACATAAAATAACTAGACCCATCCTCACGTTTACGGATTTCGACGCAATCCTCGTCATTGTCTTTGTTATCGGGTTCAGTTTCATCCCACTTCAGGAAAGACGCATCCTTGCCAGAGGTTAACGATTGGTATTGTCCCTCCTGGCTAAGGTCATTGATATCGACCCAAAAGCCGTGCTTTGAAGCATTGTTGTTCGCCTTGAGGCCCTCGATTTTTTCAGTTATTGTATTGAAAACGTCTTCATTTTTCACATTGGCCAAATGCCCGCCTAGCGATCGACATACATGAGCTGCTCCAATCCAGTTGTTCTTATATTCCTCTTCAAGGAAATAAATTTCCCGGCTCTTATTACTTTTATCATCAGCTGGTTCTTTCAGATTTTCAAGCTTCTCAAACCTCTCATTCACCAAAAGCGTAATTTTCGCCAACGCCTTGTGGGCACTCGTCTCGAACGCATAGCCCTGCTCATCGAATCGGTTCTGCATTTTGATCGTATAATCGATCAAGGGCCTAACGAGCTTAAAGCAACCACTGGAATTGCGTCTTCTAACTGGCGCAAGTTCCACGAATTCCTGCGGGACGGCAAACACACTTAAGATAATCTACAGGTTAATTGGACAGTTGAACTCACATCACTATCGTAACAGATTCCTTGATGGACCAGAATGGAGATTAGAAATGCTACCAATATGACTTTCATTTTAAATATATATAGTAGTCCACAAAAAGCCCGCAGAAAACTGATGCATTCATGAAGACAATCTGCTTTATATATCAACTTATTGCGGAAGTGGAGATTTGCTTTTAGCAAATAGTTTCCGTCTGATGTGTGAAATTATACATTCAATTATAGATTCCATTTTAGCTGATTTAGATCAAGGTGTTACGCAAGCCTGTTACAATTTTATTCCTTATCCGAATCGATAATTTGTTATGCATATTAAAAACAGCCAGCGTTATGCAAATGAAATGAGAAATTACTCTTGAAGCATATCCAAAATCGGTCTGCAGTCATTTTATCGAAAATACATTTCATTGGAGTCTCAGCTAAGTGTGAAACACAATCGGGTGAAGAAAATAATAAAGTTTCAAGCAAACTTATTCATAATTTATTACGCTTTAGCAGGATATATTGCAAAAGTCAATATTTGTATTCATTTTTAACAGGTTAAAGGTATAATGTTTAAAATTGAAATGGTTTGAAATTTGCTCCCATAGCATGTTCAGACTTTAGATATATAAATCCGTAGAAACGAATATTGTCTTTCATTTTCTCGATGGCTCGAATCCTAAGCTACGTGCTGAGTGAGTAATCCGCCGATTAGCCCAGCGTTCTGAACCAGCTAAAAACTTTGTAGAAAAGGAACCCTTTATCGGATCTAAAGGGAAGCTTCTACGCAAATTTCATCTTTCTAGACCTTTCTATTTAAGCTAAACGTTGGGCACTTCATGCTAGTAATAAATATTTTAAATTTATCACAATGCCTGAAATGTCTTGTGTGCACACACTTAGAGGTATATATTAAATCAATTAGAATTTAAATAAAATAAAATAAATCAGTCTGAACTAGTAATCAATTAATATCCCTTATAGGGTACTTACTTTTTTGCCAGTATTTTGCCGCAGGTGCCACACTGAAATTTCGTCTTGGACACAGTCGGCTTCCGTTTAGCTGTTGTCTTGGTTGCTGCCGTCTGATCCCGATGGCCATGCATGGTGGCCATGTGATTCTTAAGGTTGTGTCTTCTGGCGAACTTTGCCAAGCACTCGGCGCATTCGAAGATGCGCTCGTCCGTGTGATTGCGCAAATGGGCACGCAGCGAGTGCTTGCGGAACTGTTTGGGACAGAGCGGGCATTGCAGCAGCTCGTCCTTGCCCATGGAGGAGCCGCGTGTATGGAAGAAACGATGATAGAGCAGATCCGACTCGTATTGAGCGCTGAAGCTGCACTGATCGCAGTCCCAGTACTTGGACTGGGCGGGAGCTGGCGCAGCTGTGGAGCTGGAGGCGATGGGCTGGCAGCTGCGCGTGTGGCGACCCAGCGCTTGGGCGGACTGAAAGCTGAGGCCACAGCTGAGGCAGGCATGATTGTCCATGGGATGTGACTCCCTGCGATGCTGGATCAGGGCCTGCGGTGTGTCAAAGCTAAGCTGGCAGCTGGCGCATTGACTCACCAGGCGGCGCCTCTTGGAGCTGGCCACTGCTGCAGCTGCTGCTGCCGTCGGCTTTTCAGGCTGCCGCTCCTCCAGCACCTCGCGCAGCATGTGCTCAATCTCGCGCTCCGGTTGAGTGCTAGATTTGCGGCTGGGCTGGCGACTCGCACGCCGCTTGTGCTGCATGAGGCTGCGATGGCGACGCGCCTCCAGCGGCGTCTCGAACTCCAGACGGCAAAGGGCACAGTAGTATTTGGCCAGGCGATGCTTGTGCTTCTCGTGCCGCTGCAGAGCCACTCGCGATCTCTGTGCAGCGCCACAAATCCCGCAACGAAAGCGGCACTGATAGTCATCGGAAGCGCTGCCCGTGGCCACCATTCCGGCGTGCTCCGTCGCAAAGTGACGCCTCAACTGAACATTGTATAGGAAACTGGCGCTGCACACGGAGCAGCTCAGCTGCCGGCGCTGGGCAATGCAAACGGGCACCGATCGATTGATGGCGAACAGCACCTCCATGTGCGTATTGCCCAGCAGATGCTGCCACATCTCCTCGTTGCTCGCGCACTCAAACTGGCAGTAGCTGCACCAGAAGCTGCCGCCCAGTCGAGTGGTGAGCTCCATATGGGCAGAGGAGCGCCAATGTGCCTGCAAGTTGGGTACACAAAATAAATCAGTTATCGATATCATGGCAGGTAAAAATATCGTCCTATATCTGATCATCTAATACTTCGGGAGGCAGTTGCTTATCAATCGGTGAGTGTTATCGATAACATTTATACAAAATTTCCTTTTTATCAACAAATATATACTCCGCGTATAAGAACAACTAAATCTAATCCTCTGATCAAGTATGCATATATAAAAAGAGTATGCCTTACTTTTCTTTAAATGAACGTTGAACAATTTCACCTGTAAGGGTGGAAAACGAGTGGAAAGGTATACATTGGAAGTTATTTTTTGTGCAATTCGACGATTATATGCAATCCACCACAAAGCGCGCAATATTGGTGGAAAAGAGATAAAGTTAATCAAAAGAAGTTTGCCTTCGAATTAGTTTAATACCAAACAAATACTTTGTATAGTCTTTAAAACTGAGCCTCGTACCTGGAAAGAGTGCTCCGTGTTTGCATAGAAGCGGCAGGGCAGGCACTGGAAGGGCGCCTGTCGCACTATGCTGCCCATGTGCTCCAGTATGGAGTGCAGGGAATTCTGGCGGCGCAGCTGTGTTTGCTGCTGCTGCAGGCGTCGATAGTGATAGTGCGAGATCAGGTGCTTGCCCATGAGATGGCGGGCCATGCTGTGGCGGCACAGCTCGCAGCGTAGCAGATTGGCGCGACGCCGGCGACGGCGCTGCAGCTGGTCCGCCGGCGCTGGCTCAAAGTCCTTGGTGAGCGTTAGATTGGCGCCCTCGAGATTGGCCTGCTCCAGCTGGCACTCAGCCTCGGCGCGGCGCTGATGGTAGCCGCTGCGCAGATGCTGCTCGTAGTTGAGACGCGTCTTGAGGCGCCGGCAGCAGATGTTGCACCAATAGCTGGCCCCCGGCTGCTGCAGCTTGGTCAGATCGATGTTTTCGCGGTACTCCAGCTGCTTGCTGCCCGGCACCCACTTGCCGTGCGTATGCTCAGCGGGCGGATGGTCGTGCGGATCTTCGGGCGCCTCGTCCCAGCTGGGCGAGATGCGCTCCAGATGCGTGTGTCGTAACTGAGGACGATGTTCCGGTTTCCATTTACCACCCGTGTGCGTGGCGGGCACGGTCGGCGGGGAATGCCGCGAATGACGCGCATCGTAATCCTCGTCAGCATCGTGATCGTGCTCGTGCTCGTGCTCATTATCGTGTTCGTGCTCATGATCTGCATCATCGTCTTCCCCATCAAAATCATCGGGCTCGTCGTCATCCTCCTCCTCCTCGCTGGCTTCTGGTGAGTGCACGAATTTGAGCGGCTTGAAGTCGGATACCTCGTGTTCCCGCATCGCCTTCAGCAATGGATCTGAGCAGCTGCTGGCCGAGTGCCAGCTCTGTTCTTCCTTGGCTCCTCGCTCCGGGCGTGCGCCTGTCTTGCCTCCCGTTGAGACGCTTTGCAGCTGCAGCGAAGAAAAGAACACATCGGCGCCCAGCTCGTAAGTCGGATCATAGGCCTCTGTCAGGGACTTGGATGTTTTTCCGCCATGACTGGCGGTCGTCTTGCGCAGGTAACTGCTCGGCGCCTCCGGCTCTGCAAAGTGGAAGCCGTCATAGCTGTGCTCCAAGTTGGAGCGACTCATGATCGTGGATGACGACACGTGCTCGGTACGAGTCGACGTCGTCACCGTGGTCGGAGCCACCACTTGCTTCGCCGCACGATCATTTCCTAAACAATTCTGTTTGCGGTGCTCAATGTATTTACTCAGACCCACAATGGTCGCATTGCATTTAATGCACAGGTGAGTGTCCTCCAGATCATCCGATTCGGCGTTCATTATTGTAATCTGCAAGGCGAGAAAGCTAAGAGATCAGCTTGATGGCAGGTACTTTAATTATCAAATAGGTAAATCAAAATACGTGATCTTGTTAAATTTAATTCCTACTTTAAAAAAAAAAATTAAATAAAGAGATAGACTCTAACCATGACCATTTCCGGCCAGATATGGAAATATATGAACTTCCCAAGATGCGTAGCTAAGTCCTATTCCTTTTTTTTGCCCCCCTTTTTTCTGACTGCCCTGAGGCTATTTTGATTGAGTGCATAAAATAGACTGTCTGATTTATTGAGATCTCGTCGGAACAGTCTTTATGCCAAGCCAAACTAAGCTCTCATCGCATCGTTGGGCAATCGGCAAATAAACAGAGACCGTCTAAATGCTGGCCCGGAGTGCAATGCATCCTGCCGGGTCATATTTCAAGCCCAGTTTATTCATTAGCTGGCAGCTCGCATGTAGCCAACTGTAAGGGGCGTGTGGGAGGGGCGCAGATGGGGGTCGCCATCGTCAACAGCCAATCCTGTTGCCCATCCCTGTTGCATCAACATCACCACAGCGTTGACATGCCGGCGCGCCTGTGCGTGTGCTCCTGTGCCCGGGCCTGTGCCTGTTCCTGTCCATGTGCCTGTTCCGGCCAGCCCGCACCGTTCCGTCCCGACCCGCTGCTGTTTTGTGTTCCTGTTTATGTCCGTGTCCGCCTGTTGGCATTGCGGCCTGTCAGAAATGAAGTTTATTGCGTCTGTGTAGCGTACGTGTCGCGCTCTATACCTCTCTCACTCACTCGCACTCACTCTCTCTCCCCTTCTCTCTCTCTCGCTCGAGGCTTACGCCTCGCGATGCTAAATGTAAAAGTGTCATTTCCGCCATATGTGAGCGCGATGAACGATGCGTCGCTGTCGACGTTGACGGCGACGTCGACGCTGGCGCTATTGTTGCCGTTGTTAATAATTTCACAGTACAATTGCAGCAACAACAACAAGAAGAAGAAGAACAACAACAGCAGCAGCAGCAACAATCAGCGGCAGCAGTTGGCAGTGGCTGCTGTTGGAATTTATACAAACGAGGCCCATGTCTGAGGTTAAATACGAAAAACATAACAATTCGCACAGCCCCCAGCCCAACAAGCACTCTCTCTCGCTCTCTCACTCTCTCTCTCTCTCCATGTGCGTGGGCGGATGTCAAGGCATTTGGCGCTGCCGTTGATGATATGAACGTGAAACTGAACGTGCATGTTGGATATTGTTGAATACCGTAATATGGGATATATGGCAACGCCGCCTGCTATGCTTTCAACCGTCTAACGAGGACGCGCGACAGGCACCATATTGAGCCAGACTGTTCTAACCGTTCCATTGTTGATGCTGTTCGAGTGATAAACGCGCGTTTGTTTAATAATTAACGTGCCTTGGCACACATGCACAGTTATTCCTTCGAGTACCCTCCCGCACTCTCCCTCTCTCTCTCTCTGTCTCTCTCTCTCTTTCTAGTCAGCTAACTATTGTGAGCTGTTTGGCTCTCACCAATTTTTATATGCCTAATTAGCGGGCTGTCTGATTTTCAACAGTGTGGCAACACTTGGGCCACTTGCGTGTGTGAGTATGCGTCGTGTGCGTCTAGTGATTCATGATAATTGCTTATTACACATACAAATATTTACACGCCTCCAGTGTGCGTCGTAGGCGTTTAAACAACTAATTGCCATCTAATTGCACATATCCTGCAATTTATGTGCTGAGTACCAGGCTCAAAGTCAAAGTCAAGACAAGCGATTCGAAATTAATGAGACACCTGCGAAGGAAATGCCCAAATGTGAAGCTGACACAAATGACATAAATAAGTTTAAGGGTTTACACTGAGACAGGCATCATTTTCTATACTCATTAAAAGATGGTATTGAGGGTATGTTCCAGTTCTGCCAGTGTATGTAACATGCAACAAATACTACTGCATAAATAGTTCAATTTCGAAGAGTTAGCTCCATAAGTCGAATGCAATTTGTACCTTGTTGTTGTTTACCTGTTTTCTAAAATTCATGGCCTTAGATTTCTTTAAGATTTACTATCCGATCGGCTTCGAAAACAACTAAATGAAAAATCACTTGATACGAGTTTTCTTTGTTCATGGCTTGACCTCCAAATCAATTTGGCATCTAAATATGGCAACATTATTCTTTGGTCAAAATTCTTGTAAAAATGGTATGGTAAAAATAATGTTATTAAAAAAAAGTAGTAATAGCTATAATTAATAATTTTTATTAATAAAATGAAATATTCCAATTTTAGTGATGTTTAAAACGAACTCTCAAAAGTATGCTATTCAAAATTTTAAAACAAATTAGGCGTATTATGGCATATAAAAAATATAAATATTATTATTTATATTTTGTTGGTTAAAATGTTTAAGCAGAGCAAACGAATGAATGCAAATGCATTCGATTGAGAAAAATGTTTAATAAGTAAAAAACATTCGCACATGCGGATATGCGAGTGATTACAATGTGTATATGTGTGTAGTTAGTGGCACATACATACTCATAGAGCGCACTTATATTGAGGAATTAAATAATAAAAGCAGTTAAGAGCTGCACAAGCACAATTGTGCCATTATTTGCATTTGTGACAACAACGACGACGACGACGACGACCAATGGCAACGGCACCCATCAACAACAATAAAAGCAATGGCAATACCAACAGCAACAACAGCAACAACAACAACACACAGAGCAACAAAACAAGGGAACACAACATTGTTGAGGCCATCATCAGCAAGCAGAGCAATGCGACAGGCTGGCAAATGCCTGGGACAATGTGGACGAGAAATCCTCGTGGTTGTTTGATTCGAAAATTGAGTTTTAGCGGCGCAAATAAAAATAAAACTTAGAACAGCAACAGCAGCAACAGCAACAACAACAACAACAAGAACAACAAGAAAAGCTTAACCATTAAAAAGGAGTTATCACCCAATTTAGCACCACAAGCGCGAAATAACGCACACAAAGACATGCACACGAGCATATGGATACAGAAGGCACGGGTAAATGTTGTTCTGCTGTGGCAAGTGGGCTGCGCGGGGGCGGGTGTAGGTGGCTTCTAACTCGACATGTTTGTGCAACCCATCGGCGTCAGTTGAACACCAAATAGACATACTGTACAACATGGCATTTATGTCAAACCCAAGCGGTCCCCTATATAAATGGGCTTGTGGGCGGCAAATCTGCCTGCAGGGTTGGCTGGCAAATCCAGGAACAGCATGCACAGATATGTACATAAAAAAAAATAGACTAAGAAATTGATAATGATATATGGGCGTTATAAAATTCCAACGCTTTGCTGGGTAGATTCATTAACAGAAATATCAAAATCTTAGCTTAAAAGTTAATTTAAAATCGAAAAGAAAATTCGGTAAAGTAGTTTTTCAAATTATTCTTGGAAACATGAAATTTGTATTTGAGAATCGGTTAAACAACTGAAAACTTGTTAAAGCAAGTGGGCAGCTACTCAGGTAGCTGCTAAAATGGATTCTTAAAAGTAACTTACTAGTTAATTTTCGCTCAATTGATTTTTTTGATGTTTTCTGTTGCTTCGTGATCCGGGAATAATATCTTCTATAAGCCATCTTATAATTATGGCTGTTTAAGGTTTGATTTATTAATTGAATGAATGAATGATCTCATTTAAATGAAAATCATAATTTGTAGCCTCCACATATTGTCTAAATATTTGATTGACAGGGAGGTTCTTATATGGAAAACCTTGTTTTCTCAAGATATTAAAATCAAAATTCGTATTTAGTCGTTTCAACATCCTCTCCACATATAAGCTAAATCATCAACATCGGATCAATATATAATATAGTTGCCAAAGGAACGATCTTTCCGTTATTTAGTTAAATAAGAAACTAACCCTCGTAAGCTGTATATAACTATTGAGACAACTCCTCCTACCAAGGACTGCATTTAGAAAGTTTAATAATAAAAGGTTTAATAACAGAAAATAATATTTCTGTAATAACATAGAACACACTATCACATAACTTATGCCTATTGTATATAGTCCAAGTAGTCATTTAACATATTGGACAAGCGCTTGCACTCCTCCAGCTCGGTTGCTATTTGTCGCAGTTTACTGCTAATATTGCGAACATCTTCCATGTAGTTGAACAGCAATTCCTGCAGGCGACCCTGGACCCAGTCGAACCAGTAATCGATCTCCAGTTCCTGGCTCGCTGGCTGATGCTTGGTAAGAACTTGAACGCAGCTTTGGACTATATTTAGGAGCAGGGCCTCCAGGCGTGAAGCCTGATCCTGTTCGCTGTCGCGTCGATGGAACTTGGTGTACTTAACGGTCAGGTTGAGCAGTTCCCACATGTACATTTTGACCAGCTCCTGCTTAAGTGCGGGATCAAAGACCCAGGCCACAATTACGTGGGCGCCCACAATTTGCATTTTCATCAATTTGTCAGCCACCACCAACTTGACCTGCTCGTTGCTGGCCCACAGCTCGAAGAGGGCGCTCAGCATGGACATTTGGTTGGCATCATTGCATGCCAACATCTGTTGGATGACGGATGAGTTGGCAACCCACTACCAGAAGAAAACTCACCTTCAACACGGCCTGAAACTTGCTGAAGATGGAAAATATGTGTGTAAACGACTTGCAGCCCAAATGCAGAAACGTCTGCATCAGTACATTGATCTTGAGTGCGTCCTCCAGCTCTGTGGTCGATTCCACCAGACCGCCAAGCAGCTCCGGCGCGCACTTGCTGCGTATAGCCTCCAGCAGGTGCTTGGCCAACTTGGCACCGGGCAGCAGCTCATTAATGTACTTAAAATTCGGATCCGGCGAAACGGGCAGCAGCGCCGCAAAGGAGATCGGCATCATCTGGACAACGTGCTGATAGTAGCTGAGGCTGTGGGAAAGGTACGGCAGGAATGAATCCCCGCAGGACTAAATGCTGATAGGCTAAGTTTTCCTCTAATGCAAATGTGGTACATACATTTATTGTCCCTGCTCATAAGGTCTTCACTTTTACTTAACTAAGTGTCTTGTAGATTTCAAGAAGTGGAAACACACAATTTTGTCCTGACTAACTGGGGATCAAAACCCAATTAAGTAAAATGTTGCGCGGGATAATAGTCGCTTGTTATCCGTTAATATAATATAATCTAACCGTATATATATATATATATATATATATATATATATATATATATATATATGTTTATAACCTATCTTCCGTATTCAGTTTTTAATTTATTTCCTCCTCAAAATAGATCAAAATTCTGTTCTACATCTATCGCCCTCGTCATCAGCAAATCTATATTCCAGCTACTTTGTACTGTTCTTGCAACGAAAACAAGTCGGGTATATCCGACTAGAAGTTACTGAAATATGCATGGTACCCACCGCATGCACTTCTTGAGCAGCTCACGCACAAACATGGAGCTGGGATGCAGTTCCGGCACGGTGGTGCAGCTCTCCCAATCCTGCCAGTTCCATTGATATCGAAAGTTGCTCAGATGATGCGAGAACCAATTGACAAAGCGATCAAAGCTGGACGCGTTCATGTACTCCAATTGCGTGTAGAGCATATCGGCCGCCTGGGCGACCACACGCGGAAATTTATCGGGCACCAGCTTGCAGAGCTCGATGAGTAAGGCGCCATAGTTGATGGTCAGCAGAGGCGAGCTGGGCAGTTGAAGCATTTGCCCCAACAGCACCTCGACAATGCAGTGCTCCATAGCCAGCGTTGGCCTGGCAACGCAATAGGCCAGCAGCCGCTCGGCGCAGATCTTGCGCTCCAAATGGTACAGTTCCAGCGTCTCCAGTATGTGCGATTCGATCGCATGTCGCCCA